TGGTTTCAAATGTCAATTTTTTTTTTTTTTTTTTTTTTTTTTTGTTTTGGTTAGTCTGATTTGTTCATTTTCATTAAATTATTACAATAGATCATCCCAAAGTAAATAAAATCATGAATTCGACATAGACAATGATGAGAAGTGGTTGAAGAAAACTCACTCTAATTAAAAATTAAATGAACTCTTTTTAATATTACAACCGAGGTCATAATATAGTTATCAAAGACTTTAATAACTAATTAAGGCAGGTACTAGAAAAAATATGCTTTTTGATTTTCTTATAAGAATTAATCCAATAATTTTTTTTTAGCTGTTGAAGAATAAGACCTGATAATGGTTTGTGAGTGTTAAGTGGAGTGGAAGCCAAAGTGGTCCACAAGTATAATTTTTTTTTACATCCCAAATTAGTATTATCTAATTATTATACCAAAATTAATTTTTTGTGAAAATTAATTTATTATTTAGTGGTCATATAAATGATCATTATTTTTTTAACAGCATTTAAATAAAGGTTGGTGTATCCAATGTCGTTAATACTATTACCGGCATTTATATAAAATGCTGGTAAAAATCTACTAAATTGTCGAAAAAACTTATTTTTTTTTGTGGCAATTCTAGTAGTCATTTTAAAGGCTATTAAAAGTTATTTTTTTAATTATCGCATTTACTTTAAATAATTTATTCCTATAATTTCCTTTTTTAAATTCACAACTTATATACTTTTTTTTTATCTCTACTCGATGTGGGATTTGTAAGATGAGGGTTGTCTTTTACTTATATATTTTTTTAATTTATTTTTTAATTATTTTGTCTCTTAAGAAATGTGAGATTTATAAGGTGAAAGTTGTTCTCTAATTATTTTATAACACTATTGAATTTGGTAATAATTGGTGATTTGATACCAATTTAGAATAATAAATTAGGAGTCAACCCTATAAAATGAACATGTAAGGTGATAATTATTGCTCACTTATATACTATTTAATTATCTTATCTCTAATCGATGTGAGACTTAAGTTTTTTCTAATAAATAATTGTCACTAATAGTAAACTTTAGTGTAATATAAATACATTTTTAGTGGCTATTATATATTAGCCATTAATATTTTTATATATGACGGTAATTAAATTATTATCATTAAATAATTATCGTTAATAACAAATTTTGTTGTAGTAATAAGTTCAATTTCAAAGAAAAAGATTGTCTTATTCAATAATTTTTCTTTTATTTCTTTTTTCTTTTGTTGAAGTTGAATACTTTTTATGTTTTTGTAAAGAATTCTTAAATTAGTTAGATAATTAAGAATATTATAAACGATAAAGTTATTTTTTAAAAAATATCTAATGTAGTTAAATAACTAACATTCAAACAAGTTCAAATTGAAAGAATCTTACCGTTAGTTAATTAACACATTTCATAATATTGATGAAGTTGGGATATATGTTAATTGGTATAACTTACCCATTATATTAATTAAACTTTCCAATGAAGAGTTGAATTATTTTTAATTTGTTAGGGTGGAGTTTGCATTGGATGATTAATGTGTAGCATTGTGTACGATGATGAGACGAGGGAGAATAATTGCTCAAAGACAAATATGATTTGAGGCATGGTTATGACGAGGAAAGATCCTTATTGAAAATGAATGCAAAGTGATCCTTTTTTTTCTTCTTTTGATGAGATGCAAAGTGAATTTGAATGACCTTAAAGTGTATGCAATTATTGAAAAAACAAGCGAAATTACATGCTATACAACAAAGAATAATTGGATGTGGGGGAAGAGACGAAAAAGAGCATGCATAATTAGTTGCGCATGAATCCCTCTTGTTTATGTGTAAATATAAATTAGAAGGAAAAGTGAAGATTTTTCTCTTTATAGGAAAGAGAAACTGAAAATTAAAATATATAATTTGTACAAAAATCTAATTAAGAAAATAAATTTAACCTAAAAAGTTAAACATATTTACACTATTATTTTTTAATATAAAATTAATTATTTATTATTGTATTTTTTATGTTAGAAAAAAAATCAAATTTATATGTATTGTTGACGTAACTTTTTACATAGATACCCAATAGAATTTATATGTTTTGCTATATCATATTAATAAAATGTATATCATGGTAAATGATCAAATTGGATGTGTATATATGCGGCATATATTAAAAAAAAAAAGTTCAAGAACATGTTTACATCCTAACATTGTACATTTTTATTTAATAATTATTGAATTATTGATTTAATTTATTGTTGTGACTATAGTTGCATAATGTGTGGGACTTTAAGGGTTTAGAAATCTTAATGAGTTTAGTTGTCTAGGAATTTCTTTGAATAGAGGTCAAGTTTGATCTTTTAGAGAAATGTATATAAGATTTTTCTTAAGAAGTGAGCCACTTCATAAGTTCAATCCTTAAGAAAGTTAGAAAGCGAATCTAGAGAGAAGAGTTCGAGCTTAAGTGAACAACCTTCTCTTCCAACTTCCCAAATATCTTCCTTTCCTCCCCTTAGAGTAGACTCAGTGACTGTTTAGTGATTCAAGCTTCTAAGCCGAGAATTGAAGTGGGTGAGGTGTCCATCTGAAGTTTCCTATGGCTTAGTTCTTCTTCTTCATCCTTTGATTTTTGTGAATTTAGAGATAAGGGATGCTACAACATGATTCTTTGTTGCTTAATGAAGTTGAGTGTTGTTTGATTTCATTAAATTCGTGACTACATTAATTAATCTTAAGGTGGAACTTATGTATTATGAGTTTTGGTGTTCCTTGAACATGTTGAGAAATTTTTTTGAATTGTAATTAAATTGTGGTAGCATGTTGCTTATGATGATAAAATGAAGTTATTTATGTTGTGTTGGTGGGAATTATGTCTTTGCATGTTAGTATTTCCTGCTTTTTGGGTGAAGAGAGTAGATTTCATGATTCTGTTAAGTGCCAAAATCACCATCATGCCAGGTGTAGCTTTAAGGCGTCAGACATGATGTAAGTTAGAGGTTATATACCTCACTGACACCACGCACAAGATTGGTAGTTTCAGGCATGAATTAGAAGAGAACTCTCTAACTTTGTCACATCGAGCATGGGTTGAATGGCGTCGGACATGGGTGTCCTTAGAGCTCTCTGACTACACCAAATTGGGCCCTAGTTGAGTGGCGTCAGGTGTGACTAAGACATAAGCTCTCTACCTATACAACACCGAGCGTCGGTATTGTGGTGTCAAGCGTGAGTCAAACAGAGGTTCTCTACCTTAAATGGAGTTGGGTGTGAGTTTGGCCATGTAAAGCGTGATTGGCATTGAGGCTATTTGCCTCATTCACATGCAGGTAGATTGACATCGGGCATGGGCAAGCCAGAGGCTTTCTGCTTCACTCACGTCGAGCGTAAGGAGAATGAGACTAGGTGTGGGTTACATAATGAAATTATGTTGATTTTCATGACAAAGTGTTGAACATGTATATGTTTGTTGAACCTTTCTAATGTTGTATGTTGATGTATGATGTTAATTTTTTATACATTAATATGGGATAATGTATATAGATGATTGAACTGTTAAGAGTTGTAAGTTGAAATGTTGTGGTGTTTGTGTTAAGAATGTTTAAGGTATTATGTTGAGTTTTGTTGATTGACTTAAGACTAAAGGAGAGGTTGTATTAAAAGTTGAATATCCAATTATGATGATATTGTATTGTAGTGCTCTATGAGCCTAGTTGTTGAAAATTCTTCTTAAGAAGTTGACTTTTAAAGAAGATTATTGAGTCTCTTCTAAAACCTTACTTGATGCAATATAGGGGCAAGGTCGAGCCATATTGTTTATAAGTGACCAGAATATAAGGGTAAGGTTGAGCTATATTGATTATAAAGTGACCAAATTTTGATACATATAAGAGTTAGGTCGAGTCATACGTGTATAAAGTAAACAAATAGAGTAAGGTACAAGGTCAAAGGCCAAAATCTTTAACTAAGTACTGGAAAAAAAGTAGTATTTTGAGGGTATTCGACAGGCTAATCCCATAGGAGACTTAATTATCCAATTTGTTCTACCTTGACAAGAATACTAAACTTTCTTAGTTTAAGTGACGAAATCTGAGAAACCATGTTATGTTGTGGATTTTTATCCTAATTAGTTATTGATCTAGCTAGCCCAAAAAGATTGTGTTGTTGCTTGGTTTAACAGGGTCAAACCACTTAAAATGTTCACTTGTGTGCGTGACAATGCATGTAGTTGTTGTGTTATGCATGTGTTTAAGTTGTTAAGTTGTGTTGTGTTGTGCATATGCTATGTTGTTATGTTGATAAATTGCAGTGTTGCTATGTTGTT